ATTTTAAAAATATTTAAAAATATTATAAATAATTTTAATTATTAAATAAAATTGCAGGCAAATTTGCCTGCAAAATATTTGAAGGGATAATAGATATAAGATCTTCATTAGTATTATAAAAAATTTAAAAAATATGTATTATTATATTTATATATTTATTATAAAAATAATTATTATCTTATTAAAACTTTTTTTTATTCAATATCCTTTAAGAAAATTTATTTTAAAATCTTTTCAAAATATTTATAAATTTTTTTTTTTTTAAATATGACAGTCTATTATTTTATATAATATTGTAAATTTAACAAATATTAATAAAGTTAGTAAATAAAAATAAAATAATTTTATTATACTGCATCTTTATATATTTTGTAATATTTTCTTTAAATATTAAAATTAAGTAAAAGAATATATAATAAATAAATTTGATTTAAGAATAAAAATACTTTAAAGGTATTATTAATTAAAACAATAAAAATTTTTTTTCAAATTTTAAAAATTAATAATTATCAATATATATCAATTCTTAAATTTTTAAAGATAACTTATTATCTAAAAAATAAAATTCAATTTATTAGATTTATTTTATTAATTAATAGTATTTTTTATATTTTTAATATCAATAAATAACAAGAAATAATTAAATAAAATTGTAACTACAATACTATTAAATAGAAAATAGGAAAAAAATTTACTAAAAATTTTTTTATATAAATTAATATTAAAATTAAAATTTATTTTTAAAAATCATATTTAATAGTATACAAGTAAAATTTATTATTTTTTTGTAGTTATTTTTTTTTTATTACAACGTATTTAAAATTATTAAAAAGTTAAAATATATAATTAAATTATTTATTTAAATTTATTTAAATTAATATAATTTTAATAAATTTAAATATTAAAAGTCTTGATAAACTTATTGAAGATTCAAATATTAATGTATAAGAGAAAATTGATAATAATAAATAAATTTAAAGAAAATTGATAAAAATTAGGATTTAATTTAGCAATTAAAGTTTAATTTTCTTTAAATTAAAAATATGATATATAAATTTTTATTTTTTATTAAATATAATAAATTTTTTAATAAGATTTAATAAATTCAAAAATTATTGTATTTATCAATCTAACTTTTTATTTTTATTATTAAAATAAAATTATTAAATCCAAACATTTAAATATTATTACATATCAAATATTTAATCTAATTTTAATTTAATAAATTGATTTAAATATTTTTATATGCACTTTTATTAATTCATTAATATAATTTTATGAATTTTTTCTTATTTTATATCAATTAAAATGCAATTTCAGAAACTTATTGTAAATTAAATTATTTACTTTCTTTTTATCTTAAAAAAAAAAGAAATTTCGGATTTATACCGAAACTTGTAATGAGAGTCATTTGTCATTACTTGTTTATTTATAAAAGTCTTTGCTTAATATATATGCTGTTCAATAATAATAATTCTGTTTATTAAAAAAGTCAATTAGAATATTATATTGTTATGCCATGATTTATTATATTCTAGACATATTTAATTATTTATGGTATTCAAATAAATAATTTTTTTTTTTTTTTTTGTTTAATTAAATAAATTCAAAATGATTATTCATAATTGATTAAAATGATAATTGTGGGATAACAGAAATCATATATATATAGATTTAACTATTAGTCCAAAAAAAACTTAAATTCTATCAATATGTTACATGTTTTTACATGATGATGATAAATCAGATGCAGACAATTTTGGCATTCCTTGTTCATCGAGATCCATTCCCGGTGCCAACTCATTTATGATTTCTGGTGGTGGTTGTCCGAAGTCTTGTAACTAAATTGATAAATTTGTATTTACCGAATTCTTATAATTTATAAACGGAAAGATTTATAATTTATTACCTATACCTCTTGCATTAAATTTATAATGGCTTTGTTTTGTTGTTCATTGTTTTCGTCAAAATCCTGCGCTTCATATTTTTCGATGATCTTGTGAATATATTCCGATTGTTTTTCATAGCGCGTATAGTCTTCTGGTGGTACCTTGCCTTTGTTTTCCTCGAGCCATTTGGGGTACTTAACATAATCAACGCCGCCATGACAATAATAAAAGGATGCAGCGAAGACATCTTTTGTTGTTAATTTTCAAACAAAATAAAATAACAAATATATTCAAAAAGGAAAATAACTAACTAATGATTAATATAAAATAAATGATCTGTTTCCTACCTTTTGCGCGAATTCTTTCATTGGCTCATATAAATAATCTTTTGTCGCTAATGTTTCCATCATAAATTCAAAAATTTTTTCCATTTCTCCACCGTTAAAATTTTCTTCCATGTCGCCAATATCTGAGAGTCCGGACAAATTACCCACGCTTTCTAAATGCTTCATCATCTCTTCCATTAAATCATTCGATCCATCTGTAATTTCAGCCTTTTCATATGAAATAATATAATTATAAATAAAAAATAAAAATAAAAAAAGGTATAATAAATTTCATTAAAAATCATTGATACATACATCAAGTTGTTCCGAAGTATTTTGTAGCTTATTCATTGTTTGATTGATTTTATCTTGGAACGAGGTTCCTTTGGAGTCAGTAGTGGACTTCCCATAATTGTTATTACTTCCAACACTAGGTCCCTTAGTTTCATTTAAATTATTTATAAAATTCTCATCCACATCACCAATAGTTTTCATAAATCCTTGCATTGCCATTCTTAATTCTTCATTTTCCTCCAATTCTTTGACAAAAACATCCATATCAGCAGCAAGTTGTTTTGCATATTCATCGTCTACTTGTATAGATGGATCAACTTGATCTCCAATATTATCAGGTGGTGCATTTGAAGGAAATCTTGATGCAGAAGAACCAGACGGCTTATTTGAACTAGACTGTGAAGAAAAGTCGTCCAGTACCTCTGATAAAATGGTCTTAAAGATTATTAACTTGGAAACCCGAATGGAATTCTGCTTGTATTTTAACATGAAGACTAACCATCAAAGAGTTCGTCCAAATCATCCAAATCGTCAGTAATGGTAACTTTTTTATTTTCAGAAGCCATAGAAGTCATAACGTTATTGCACAAATATTTTTGAAGAAAGTGGGTGTTTTTATTTGAATTTTTTTTTTTTTTTTTTTGGTTTGATCAACATTTAATCAATTTAATCATTTTATTATATTCATGTGATTTGTGATTTTTTTTTTTAAAAAAAAAAAAAATTAAATAATCTTGACTTATGTACCGTCCATTTCTCTAGTCAGGAATCAATGCGAATGCCTGTTCTTTGCTAAATTGATACCCTTTTTGGAGACAATTACGAGCCTGACACCTTTTCTCTCTATCATCTCCCAAGAGGTTACGCATTTCTGGTGCTTACATAAATATGATCCCAAACGGTCTGTTTGCAGTAAACAAGCCAATTGGCCTACTTTCGGTCACCATTTTAAATAAAATTAAAATGCTTTATCGTACACAATTGAAAGACTTGGCAATATCGCAAAAAAATAAGTTAAAATTAGGTCATGGAGGAACATTAGACCCTCTAGCAAGTGGAGTGCTAGTAATTGGAGTGAATGACGGGTGTAAAAGACTGCAAGATTATATTAAATGCAAAAAGGTCTTTTGTTATAATTCTAGAACTTTAGTTTTATGAAATATTTTTAATCTCTGTACTTTACTTTCAGATATATGAAGCAGTTGGGATGTTTGGATTCGCTACAGATACTTATGATTCTGAAGGGAAAGTTATAGCAATTGGACCTACAGAGCATATCACCAAAGAAGATATTTCACAACTACTTACTAAATTCATAGGAGATATTATGCAAGTTCCTCCAATGTAAGCTTGCCTAAGGATTTTAAAATAATATATATGATTTTTGTTGTTTACAAAGAAAATGTTGACTTATTATCAAAACTAAGGTATTCTGCTCTGAGAATAGATGGTCGACGTCTTTACGATTATGCACGTAAAGGACTATCTCTTCCAAGAAATATACAAGCTAGATCCATTAGAATCGATTCTTTGTCTTTATTAGATTTTACTACAAACCATAATTTTCAGATTCCAAAAACTGATATTACAATTACGGACAAGAATAACCATGTTGAAAATATTAATCAAGCATCTTATCCGATTTTTAAAATTCGCGTAGAATGTGGAAGCGGAACTTATATTAGGTCATTAATTCACGATATAGGAAAAGAACTTGGAAGTGCCGCTCATGTAGTTGAATTAAAAAGACTTCAACAGGGCAATTTCATATTAAAGAAAAATACTCTCGAATGGAATGACTGTTTAATCTTAAATAATATCTTTGAAGCTCTAAGATAAGATCATGATATTTGTGAACCCGAATTTTGATTTGTTATACAAGATCATTTTATCGATGGTGATTCGATTATAGTTACACGAATTATTGATTTGGGATACTTAATATCCGAAATGTGATTAAAATGTCAAATTAACATTATTAACATTTTAAATTTTCCTTATCATGTGACTTTTTTCATCGCATTTTCCTTGTTATTATAATTATAATCTTCTGTGATTCACATGGAGGGGATTTTTTTTAATTTTTAATGGAAATAAAAAAAAATAAATTCTTTTAAAATATAAATTATTTTTATATAATATATATTCAAAATTTAAAGTATTATTAAAAAAAAAAAAAAAAATAGTAAGTGGTATACCACTTGGATTAGGTTATAATTTGTTGATACGGAGGTTCCCATTTATGTTTATGAAGTAAGAAAAACAATAACACCCTTTATGCTGACCTCTTGATAGTTGAGATCAAATCTGCCGAAAATTCAAAGCGGAAATCGCTTCATTTTCGAGTTCAAGAACAAAGGGGTCAACTTCTTGGACCTGCAAATTAGAAATTTCAACCTAATTGAGATCAAGGTAATGAATATATTTATAAATTTGCATTACATTACAATTTTAATAATGAAATAAATTTTATATTTCAAGCAGAAAAACAAAAACAAAAAATAAGAACAATACAGAAATTCGAAATTGGAATGGATTTACTTGGAAATGAAGAATTAAAGGTATGTTTTCACATTCTCGGTACTATCGTTTCGTAAGCTCCTTTATGCTTACTATTATTTTGAATTGTATTTCCGAATCAGGTAATAATTCTAGCTGGGAAGTGATGGAGCGAAAAGCAAACAAAGTTGAGGCAATGTCAAGAAGAGGTGTACTCCAATTGAAGTGTGACAATTTGGAGGAATTTGATAATGGCAAAACCATAAGAGAAATTTTCAATGGGGCCTGTGATTATTGTAGATTAAAACTGAAGATGTCTTTATATGATCATAGATATTAATATTAGATTAAGACAATTCTTTGGAACAGATAATGATGATAGAATAGATGCTATACTTTTAGATTATGAAGAGCATTTCTTACATGAATTTATTGGTAAATATGTTCCACTTCGTCCTAACATTGATTTTGATTTACCACGAGAGATCATAAACTATAATCATCGCTATTAGTAGTAATGCGAAAAAATGTCTTAACTTTTGGTATAAGACTTAAAAATATTGCACAAGTATCAATATTTTTAGGATTTTGAATTGGTATATTTTTATAAATTGTTGGAATTGGTACGCAATTGTCAAATAATTTTAAAAGACAAATTATCAAATTGAAGTAACAGATTGATGAATAAAAGGAATTGCATGGTAATTATCAATATTATTATTCTATATTATATAGATAATATAAAATAATTTTTAGCGTTAATTTACTTTTTTTTTTTTTTTATTAAAAATTAAAAATTTTATTAAATTTTTAATTTTATTAAATTAATTACATAATATAAATAAATTAAATATTTATTACGCATTGGAATTTTTAAAATATTTATCTATTTTTTTTTAGGATGATTTGTTAAAGATTTGTTACCTGTAGCTATTAACTGTTTTAGTATATACGTTAAAATCCATTAATGATAAAGTTTCAATACCTTCTCTTGAAGTTCCAAATCTTAAAAGAAATTCTAATAAAAATAAATTATATTATAATTACCTTGATTACTATCTACTGTGTTTGTATTGATATCATAAATTGGCAAGTTATTTAAAGGCTATTTATTACGGTCTGGTTCAACAATATTTGTTGTAAGGCATTTGACTACTTTTAAATGGTTAAATATATTAAACGTTTCTTTTGTTAACATTTTTATCACAATTATGTATATTGCACAAGATCCATAATTTGGTAAACGCGGCATTTTTTAAAAATTTCGCATTACTTTTAAATAATCACGTGCTTTTATAATTTTGGTAATGATCAGCAACAACTCATGCTTGTAAGGTTCCGGTCAACTCCTCATCACATCGCACTCATGGCAGTGATGTGCACTTGGAAGATTGGAAGCACTCTTGGAAGTACCTTTGGAAGGGTTGGAAACATAATTCTCTAATAAATTCATTTGGATTGGAAGCTTCCAATCAAATTTTATACTATTTGAAGCATAAAATGCACATCACTGCTCATGGTATATTAAGCGCGTATTTACAAAAGCTGAGTAGCTTGTTAAACATATAGCTTATTTTTTCGCGTGCTATAAATTTTTTCGCGTCGATGTATCAGTATAAGTCGCGATTTTTTATATTTAAGACTCTTTCATACGCGTTGGCCATTTATTATTTTGGTGAAGAGAAAGAGATTTTTGAATACTAAATATGAGCACTGCCGAGAAATATCCCGGCCAAAACGGTAAGTTCTGTGAACAGTATCTCGACTTGTTAATTTGACTACTAACTAAACTTTCGACCTTCTAGTCCTTATTACTTATATAAAAGAACGAAAAAGTAAATCAACATATCGCGGGTTTTTGAATCTTTACCGTGATGACATCGTTACTTTTTCGCTTTCGCTTTCGCTTTCTGGTAATTGGGTTGACCTCGACAATACATGGGCTCGCAATTTTAGAAAGGAAGCAGAAAGATTGGTGAAGGACCAAAGCGCATTAATCGACTTAAAAAATTCGTGTATTGGTTACATGATTCACTAAGATAAGCCTGCTTATTATTGTACTGTAGAATACTGCAAAACGAAAACAAACTGAGGATGATGAGAAAGAGAATCTTGAACCTTCTTCAAGAAAACGTTTCAAATCCATCATTACTCTCATTTATCTCGTTAAAGGAAATGCACTCACAAATGCTTTCGCTGTCGATATTGATAGTGTAGTGGAAAGTTGGTAGTCATTTCAAGGACGCTATTAAGGTGAAAAAGACACCAGAGTTTGATGATTTTCCCGCAGACAAACTCAAAATTTGGAATGTAGAAATTCCCGACGATCAAGATGATCAGTTGAGAAACCTTTCACTACAAAACAATGATGAACTCCTCCCAACAAGAAAGATTTCGAAATATTTTTCTGCCGCACCAGCAGAAGAACATGTTCATATCATTGTTTCGCCACCAGAACCCACTCTGAGAAACTGTATCAACAGTCTCCTCCATGACCATAATATCGATAAATTATGCCTTTACGTCGAGCCAAAATTAAAAGAACTTATCAAGAAGGGAAATCTTTATGACGACAGAGAGTTGGTCATTAAAGTGATATTTCATGCTTTGCTTCTAGACATTCCAAATCACTTTGTTGATACGGAGGTTCCCATTAATGTTTATGAAGTAAAGAGAAACAACAACTTCCTTTATGCTGACCTCTTGATAGTTGAGATCAAATCTACCGAAAATTCAAAGCGGAATCGCTTCATTTTCGAGTTCAAGAACAAAGGGGTCAACTTCTTGGACCTGCAAATCAAAGGTATGTTTCACATTCTCGGTACTATCTTTCGTAAGCTCCTTATGCTTACTATTATTTTGAATTTTATTTCCGAATCAGGTAATAATTCTAGCTGGGAAGTGATGGAGCGAAAAGCATACAAAGTTGAGGCAATGTCAAGAAGAGATGTACTCCAATTGAAGTGTAACAATTTGGAGAAATTTAATCATGGCAAAACCATGAGAGAAATTTTCAATGGGGCCCGTGAACAACTCCTCAACTACGTTCGCAATTTAAAAAAAGATGACCATCAAAATAATTTCGAGTTTATCACTTCGGCATTTGTCGTGATGGCAGTGGGTTCGAGAAAGTTAATATGGGAAAAAATTAGCTGTTAATTTCTGTAAAGTGTAGCATACTAGCATTTAATTTATTATAATATGGGTTGATTGCTAGGAAAATCAGGTTCCGGGAATTTTTTAGCAAAATTGAGATTTTTATTGCATTTTAGTTTTTGATGTTATTATATTAAAATGTATTAAGCTCTTAATTTTAGTCAAAAATTTCTCGGAACCTGATTTTCCTAGAAACACTCCCATATTAGTGAAAGCAATAGCATTAATTTTAGTAGATTCTCGTTAAAAAAAAAAAACCTAAGCAAAAATTACTCCGCTGACTAAATTGGTTGCCGTAATTATCAGGTTGCCGAAAAATAAAGTTTTTCTATTAGTGATTTACAAGAACTTTTTAATACGATCTAAATTTTTTTTACTGCGAGCAAATTAGTTGTTTCATACTGGAAACATTCCTGTATAATTGAATTATTTTTTTTCTTATCCCACTGTTCGAAGCAAGTCATGAACGTGTCTACTGGTAAGACATCACGTCAGAAGTACCAGCAATGAAGAGGCTATCCCGGGAAGTCAGGAAGAAAAGGCTGAAGTATGAACAAATAGAGAATGGGCTTCTCATGAACCAGAAGATGACGTAACAACCGAATCTCCCACCGAGCTAAATTATATTTATCTCTGGATGTGTCTTGTAACTACGTATTAATAGGGCCCGAATATATAGCATAGCAAACGTTCTCTCAGAGTTGATATTATTTTGTGACAATAAGAGAGTCACTTGTCACGAGTTTGTTTCGGCATGTTATGGAATTCAACAGAGCCATAATCATCAGTTACCATTGGTGACGATGGCTAAATGCTTTGGCAAGGTAATTAGTCCGCTCCGCAAAAAAATTATGCATTTCACTCATGTCCTTCGGAACAACCATTGCATTGGAGTATTGACATTAATGTATACAGTAGAGATACATACAGTATCTGATGTTTTAACAGATTTGACATTCAGGATAAATTTATTCACTATGCTCAAAATCAAAACTCTAATTCCTTATTTATATGACTTTATAAAAAATCGAATTTGATGTTTAATAATTCATCAGCAGAGAGTTGAAGAGCTATTTAATATATATGATCTTAAAACTTATCTAAATATGAATCAAGAATTACAACAATCAAAACTAAACTTTTTATTAGCTAAAATTTATTTGAAAATATTAATAAATCTAGTATTAAAAAAGTCTAAAACAATGAAAATGTTAACTATTGTATAATTTAAATTTGATAAAAAATAAAAATATAATTACACAGAATGTTAAACAATTGAATGCAAAGAGAGTTAAAGTAGCAGATGAATTATTTTTCTAAAGAGATTGATTTTTTATATAAAATAATAAATTTTTGAAAAGTTCAGCATATTTAAAACTTTAGAGATAAATAATATATTATTAAAAATTTTAAGTATAAATTTTAAAATCTTGTATTTAGTAGAATATTTGATAATCTATTAACTAGTAGAATTAATGTTGGCAAAATTAAAAAAAATCTTTTAATAATGAATTTTTATGATACTATACTATATTTTAATTTATATAGTTGATAGAATTTTCAAACTTATATAATTTACTATTCTATATTATATATTTAATTTTTATTTTATTTTATTTCAAAATAATTTTAATTAAAATCAGTAATACTAATATAAAATTATATAAAGATAAAATTTCAATAGTATTATTGAAAAAACTTTTAATATAAGATAAAAGTATAGATTTATTATAAATTATATATGTATAATTAAAATTTAATAAATTTATTTGTTAAATTTATTTTATGTAATATTTATTTTAAAAATTTCATAGTTTAAAATAAAATAATTAAAATATTTCTTGTAATATTTATTTTATTTTATAAATTTATTATTTTATTAGTAAAATTATTTATTATTTTAAAATTTAATATTAATAAATAAACATATTTTTTTTAATATTTAAGTTAAACAACCTAATAATATATAAATTTATATTTCAATATAAATTAAAAAATCCTTATAAGTTTCTATAAGGCAATTAATAATATAAAATATCTATTTTTCAAGTCTAATAATTTATTTTGATATTATTTCACTTTCATATCCTAAGTTTCAATAAAAATATATCAGTAAATTTTATATTTAAAATTTTATTTCAATTATAAAATGAAATAAAAGATATAATAAAAAGAAGTGATATATTTTCAAAATGAAATTTATAGTAAAAAACTTAAAAAATTAAAAAAAAATTTAAATTTATTTTATAGTATAATCATATGTACATATATATAGTTAATGAATTTTTCATAATTCAAAAAATATTTATATATTAATATTTTTATATATTATTAGTAAAATATTTTAATTTATAATATTTATGCACTATTCATTATATGGGTTGATTACTAGAAAAATCAGGTTCTGAGAATTTTTTAGCAAAATTGAGATTTTATTGCATTTTAATTTTTGATGTTATTAGATTAAAATGTATTAAGCTCTAAATTTTAGTCAAAAATTTCTCAGAATCTGATTTTCCTAGAAATACTCCCATATATTACGATTTAATTGACTTTGCATTTAAAGATACTAAAATAAATATTATGATCTTAATCAGTGCTTATAAATTAGATTTAATTAAATTATGTGATTACATTAAAGATCATCTACTACAAGATAAAATATTATTGATACAAAATTTTGTTTCTGTTCAAAATGTTGTATTTCAACATAATCATTTTAAAAAATTAACACAATTCTACAAAAACACTTTTTAACAAGATCCTTTATTGATTTTTAAAGCAAATGATTTTACAATCATTAAACATAACATTCTATTTGACCTTCTTATAAAGGATACACATTCTTTAGAAACCATTGAAGTTTGGGACAAACTCATTAAATGGAGTATTACTCAATTTAATAAATTACTATCATCTGACGCTACTACCTTATCTGCTGATAATATTTTCATATTTAATATTTAATATAACCTTTTATTTCTTATATCAACTTTAAAGCTATGAATCTGTCAGACTTTTATCAGAAGATTAAACCATTCAAGAAAATTTTTGATAAAGATCATTATATTGAAATTCTCAAGTATTATTCTTTTAAATCTTTTAAAATCTATTTTCATTCTCAACAATCTAAACAAGATTTTTTACTAACTAAGTTAATAAAGCTTAGTCAACTTTACAAGAAGATCAAAAGTATGACTTTCTATATATAATTACAACTTACTTATTCTGAAGATAGAGATAGATAAATAAATTTGTTGAATATATGTACTATAAAGAGCTAAAACTAAAATATAATACTAATTTTAAGATATAGGTATCAAGAACTTATAGAATAAAATGTGTATTGTATTTCTATAAACTCTTATAATAGATTGATAAAAATCTTATATTTATAGTTCTCATTTAATAAATCAAACACTTTTGTAAATTAAATAATTTTTCAAATGTTTTTCCATCAAAGTCTTGATTTCTCATAATAAAAATTTTCATATTTGGTAGTTAATCCAATTACTTTAACTTTAAAAAGATATTAATTTCTAGAATGTTAAATTCATTAGTCATCTGATTATACAGTTTCGTCTAAGGTTGCTGAGCAATACCCAGAGGTGTTAACAGGCATCAAAATCAAAACTCATTAATGAGACCAGTCCTTAAGGTTTTAAGTTCATAGATTAGATATTATTTGCAATATATACTATTAACAAGAAATTAACGAATAATATTATTGAAACGCTTATTGATTTTTATTATAAATGTATATAATTACTTTGTTTGCAATCTACTTAAATCCTCAAACTAATATATAGGAAGTTTGCTATTAAAATTGAGTTACGAACATAGTAAATCATATGATCTGTAATGTAATTTTAATAGCTTGCTTTCCATATACTCAGAATACATTTCCTCAGCTATTTGAGAATTCATTAATCATATATTCCATGATATGGTAATCAAACACAAATTTTTTAAAGAAGTACGTCTATAACTATTAATGGTACTATTTATATATCAAGAATTAAGAATGGTGAATTATATCTAAAAAAATGCTTATCCGCTTAATGAATTGGATAAATTAGAACAAAATGAACAATTTTTTGTTCATAAACTGCTTAGAATTAGAGATGATGATATCTAATAACCTGATTTTAAATTTTGTTATTAAACATTTGAGAATATGAATATAAAAGTTCATTGTTTAACATTAATAATATGAAAGATAATACTTTTTTAATTTTCTGCATTATGTAATGATAGTTTCAAAGGTTAAACTGAATTATAACTGTGTAATGAGAGTAATAAGAGTATTCTTAAAGGCTTTAAATTTATAAAATTACTATTTTATGAAAATTAAGATCATAAATAAAGAAACTGTCTCATCCTAAAAAGATTACGACAAGGAATTTAATTAAAAAAAAATTATGCCTAACAGGTTTTGAGTATTTCACATAAAATTTAACAACTTGTGAATATAAAAATCTCTTCTAAAAATAATGTCAATACTTACGTGTCAGCAAGCATCTCAATGATAATTTGATGTTTCAGATGAATAGCTTCTAATCTATTATAAATGCTAGCGTAACGTTAGACATAAGAAGATAAGGCAATTCATTTATGATAAAAGATTTTTTTTTTATTAAATGCGGCAATCTCACATGATCTTTATTAATATTTATAAAATTACAAGAAAAACAAAATAAAACAGAAAATACAAAATTATCTATAAACTAATCTAGAAAACTAAACTACTTTATCAATACTAATCTTGTACTTATACTGAATTAAACTATATATCAGAAAAGAAAAAAAGATCTAAACTAAAATACAGATATCAAACGTCCAGAAGGGAGGACATGGTTACTGCTGTATCAGAAATTTGACCAGTGAAAACCAAAAGCAATAGCTGTTGAGAAGAAGGAGGGATTACTTTGAGGTATTTGTGGTGATCTCAGAAAGCCAGAAGAAACTCAAGCAACAGTGAAATCATCTTGATATTGTTAGCA